TTTTTTTTTTTTTTTTTTTTTTTTTTAAATTTTTGAGACAGGGTCTCATTAAGTCAGTAAGTTGCTCATGCTGGGCCCAAATTTATGATTCTCCTACTTCAGCCTCCCAGAGTACTGGGATTATGTGTGTGAAAACTGAGTTTTTTAAAGCATGCTCAGCTTCAGGTGAGGGTCACACTAGACAGCCAGCCTGAGGAGGCCAGCTCCTCCTCATGAGGACAGGAGTAGTCAGTTCCTGAGCTGACCTGTGAGCTGCCTGCCTCATGTCTGTGCCTCTCACATGGAGCCAGTGGCCATGCAAGGCTTTGTAGATCATTAGAGTGAGATAAAATCAAAATGTCAATTCCTTGGTCACATGAGCCACCATTCAAGTGACAGTGTAGATACTGTCTTGGAGGAATACCCCAGTTCACCACACACGTTGAGGTGCAGCTGTGTTCTGCCTGCTGGTTGGAGTGAGGCCTGTGAGTCCCCACAGCTATCCACGCATGCGTGCTTCTTCCCTGTGATCCTGGCTTCCGAGGGGAGTAGCAGTGGCCACACGCCCCATGGCTGTACCACAGAGCTCTCATTCTGCTCCGCAGGTCACCCTGAATAAAGTTCCTTCCAAGCTACTACCTCTTGTCTTCTGAGCAGAGGCAGATGTGACAAATCCCTGGGGGAGGGTTTGAGGGCAGCAAGGCATTTGGGAACCTGGATGTGGCTCCCGAGGGGTTGGCATGTACCCCTACCTGCTAGACTGGCTCACACAAAGTTGTAACAATCAGTGTGGGTAACCTTCATCTGGAGAGTTAGTTTGACATTTGTCAGCAACACTCTGCAGGATAATGAATAACAAATTCTTTGAGGGCTGTTTTGACTGATTTTAGATAAATCTATATTACCCAAAATTCAAGGGATACTGGAGAAGAAAACACAAGGGTTGGTGTCAAAGCCATACTCTGGCTGACAAACAGGCATGGACCCCAATCTGACCTGCTTGGCCAGATCTAAAAATACTGAGGGAGTTTTGCTAAGTCACTAAGTTGTCCAGGTTGGGTTTCAGCTTGAGATCCTCCTGCCTCAGTATTTCAGACATGCACCACCGTGCCTACCTATATCTTTTACAGACATAAATGTGAACTACTGGGGCACAATTTAGGGACAATGGCTAATGGATTTAATGGGATGAATGGCCAGTGAATATTAGGGTAGATAAATGAAACAACAGCTAGAAGGAAGTTGGAATAATCAGAAACTAGAAAAAGGTGGATAACAGGGATGAAGTGAATCCACTGCCATCCCCTAAACACTGAAAGCAAAGCCTGTAGCAAACAACACCCAGGGTAGGGTATGTGGTGGTGGTGGGGGCGGGGCTGGGGCTCTGTATCCCCATTGTGTGGACACCTGTAGCATGTGCATGTCACATGCAGCCAAGGCAAGTGCTCAGAGGCTGAGTGTGTGCACTGCAGGTGGTCGGTGCTGCCTCACTGCCTCAGCAACAGCCTGCTGGCATACATGCTATCCTTAGGGTGCAAATGTGAAATCTATTTATGAGCTGTATGCTTTGGTGTTTGAAGAAGATATGGTGAGCCTTCAAAGAGACCCAGCAGCCTGGCTGGTCTCCTGTAAGATACCTGCAAGTAGACAAGGGAGCAGGAATCTCACCTGTCCTCTTCCCCAGATTGTGAGGACAAAGTGAAAATATGGTCATACTTGTCTGCTCCCCAGGCCATGGAGCTGATGGCCTCCTCTGGATCAACCACTGGGACAAGTCATCCCCAAGCAGGAGATATCTGCAGTATGGCATTGGCCACTCAGATGGCTGGTCCAGGGTTTGTGTCCACCTGTGCCTTCAGCTAATTCAGGATGAGTTGGTCCCAGTCATAGGGTCACAACCAAGTCAGAACAGACACTGGCCCAGGGCTGGTCTCAGTGCATTTTCAAGGCTCTGTCAGGAGACAGAGCTCACCGTCCCTTCTGGAACACCTACCTCATGGCAAACACTTATGTCCACAGGCCCTTTTCAGGCTATCAAAGATCCTGGGACCCTCATGATCCTCCATGCTAGTACAGCCCAGTCTGGGGGCTGCTCAGTACCAGCTGTGCATGTCCTGAGGGTGTTCAGTCTACTCTGTTCCTCACCAGCTATACCATGCCTTTACTCCTGGTATTTCTCATGATGGAAGGAGATGAGGGGAAATGGCAGTGTTAGTACTTTCTGCTAGAGTTGATGTTTTCTGCTCACTGGAAAGGTGGGAAGAGGTGGAGAGCCAGAGCTCTCGGGATGTCTTTTACTCTGGGTAGAGCACAGTGTGCATTGCAATTGCAATGAAAGACGCAGAGGTTGGATGAGGACCCATTCAGCAGAAAGAAAGTGACCCAAGGACCTCTTGGACCCCATCAAAGACCAGACTCCACCTTTGTGTCCAAGACTTGCACTCTCACATGGTGATACTGAGTTCCCCCCTGGACTATGAGGTGCAGGTCTCCTGTAGTGGATATTGGGGCCATCTGCTGTGAATTGTCTTCTCCTTATGAGGTTCTACGGTGCACAGAGGGGCCTAGTCTTCAGTGAAGTCCAGTGGAAATGAGAGCTAAGAGTATGAGCCCAGTCCCCACACCTAAGGATGCTGCTTTCTTGACCAAGTAATGAACTGACATATTGACAGCAGGAGGAGGCAAACAAAAGAAGGGATTAGCAGACAGCTGAGATGATGCTGGTGACTAATTTTGCTGGGGTCTCAGTCACTGGTGGGGGACCCCGTGTGCACAGGTAGCCACCTTTGGCCTAGAAGTGTCTGTTCAAGTCACAGCCTCTTGGGCCTGATTGGCCAGAAGAAGCCTAGGCTGTTCCTGACCTGGAATGGCACTGTCTGCCAGAGAAGCCCATGCCAGGCTACACTGACCCTGCATCCAGCCTGGACTGGACTTGCCCTGGGCAAGACAGTTCTGGCATTTGTTCTCATCCCACAGTTGTTACTGCCCAAGTGCCAGGGGCCCAAAAGGGAGGAGGCTTCACCTGTCAGCCCCAGCGAGAGACACGACCTGAAGCCCAGTGTGGTCACAAGGATCAAATGACCTCCTGAGCACCGGTCACCTGGAGGCCATGTGCCCAGCTAATATGAAAGAAAAGCAATTTCCTGTCTCCAAAATGGGGAGAATATGCTGGTGAGCATAGCACTTCCAGAAAAGGACATACAGACAGGGAGCGCCGTGAGTATTCCAGGAGTGGATACCACAGGGGCTGTGAGTGTGCCCTTACCTGCCTTCTGGGGTGACCTGGGAGTACTGCCTGCCGATGATACTTTTGCCACTACAGTGATCCCCCACCCCTCAGCGGGCAGAAGCCCTGGACTCACCGGGCTCTGGGCTTCAGGCTCTGGGTGCCCACCAGCCTTTTCTCTCCCCAGCTCCCTCACATAGTTGTAGACGTCAGCTCCAAAGCAGTCAGCCTCGTAGAAGGCACTGGACCAGCCAGGGCTGCAGCTCTGGAATTCAGCTGGGCCGAGAAACACTGCCTGGCTGCTCTCATTGGGTCTGGCCACCTGGGCCATGGTATCTGTGTCTGAGGTCTTGCCAACTGGCTCCAGGCCTGGGCCTTTTCCACCTACTCCTGCTTCGGGCTGCTGCTCTCGTGCAGCTTTTATTGACTTCTGAGGTCGAAATCCCACCTCCAGGTTTCCCTGTGAGAGTGTGTCAGAGTCTATGTCTGACAGCATGGTGGGTGAGCAGGGGCCTCCACTGCTCCGGGCTGCCGCTGGTTTTTCTTTGCCTTTAAAGAAAGAGATGAAAATGAAGGTCACTCTCTTTTCCATGGAGGGAGACCCAGAATGCCTTCCCCAAGACTCCCACCACAGTGGTCAAGCCGGGCAGCGTTTGCACAGTAGTTTCTAGGAACTCTGAGCGGCTTTTGAAGAGATAGTTACAACCAGGAGCAGTGCTCTCCCTTGACCAGACTCCCTCTAGACATGTGTATTTTGTTTGTTTGTTTTTTGAGACAGGGTCTCAAAAATTCAGGCTGTCCTTTAACTCACTGTGTAGCCCAGGCTGGCATCAAACTCACAGCAACCCTCCTTCCTCAGCCTCCCGAGTGTTGGAATTATAGGCGTGCACAACCACACCTGGTGACTTGTATGGTTGTCAAACTTCTATGGGACTTGGATCCTGCCCCTAGCTCTGGTCCTGTGTCTCTCTCATCCAGGCCCACCAGTTCTTCTAGAGCATTTAGAGTCAAGACCAGCTGTAGCGTTTCACAAACCTTTCAGGATACTCTGGGCCCTATCAACTCTGGAGGCTTCTGCCTGTGCTGGTGGCTTCCTGGGGCCCCGACTATCTGTGAACAGGTGGACTTCATGCCCAGGGGTCTGCTCACTTGTTCCCTGATTTACTTAAATAAGGACGAAGCTATCAGCATGTCCATTACTGGCCAGTGGATGGACTTGGGGTATCAGTCACCCCACCTGCTTGGTCAGCCTGCCCTGATTTCTTCAGACTGGATTTGAGGAAATTATAGTTTTCAGTGGACCTGGGAGTCCAGGGTTAATAATCTGAGAAAACCAGCTGAGAGCGCTTAAATGGCTCATATGAAGCCAGAACTATGTTGGAAGCTGCTGAAGAAGGGAGGGAGGGAAGGTGATACTGCTGCCCCTTCCCCAAGGCCCAGGCCCCTAGGCTGTCCCCTAGAGTAAGGCTGTCCTGATGCTGAAGTCCTTCCTGTAACTAGCCACAACAGGACGGACTGGAGGACCCCAGTGAGAACAGCTGTAGCTCCCATCCCCTGCGGTGTGGGCTGCTTCTCTTACCCAGTCCGTGCAATGAGGGTCTTTTGCTGGATGTTGCACAGCTGCCTGGTGAACTCTGGAGCTGAGACCCTGTGTCCTCGGAAGTGCTGACAATCAGAATGACTGGTCAGACCCGCTCCACTCCCTTCCCACTGGACAAGGCCTTGGCCCTGTGCAGAAAAGCCCCCTTCTGGGAAACACTGGTGGGGAATGAGGCCTCACAGACAGTGGGGTACTGGCTCCATAGAGCCCTGCTGGGTGGAATCCAGGTGCTGTTCAAGCCACCCTCTCATGGCCATGGAAATGCATGTTTGTTGGGGGCTGAGGTGGACACTTTTGCCAAGCACCTGCTTTTATTCCTCACGTAGGCAGGAGGGTGTCAGAAAGCATGCTCCCCCTCCATCCCCCAATAGCACGAGGCTGTGTAGTTTCTGTGCAATGGGTGTAGGTAAAGGGTGAGGGAGTGGGGCACTGAGGTAGAGCTTAGGTGAAGGAAGTCACTGTAGGCACAGCACACATGGATATTGGGATCCTAGTCTGCTACAGGGCCCTGAGAAAGGAAACCTGGGTCCTGGGGTCACCTACCTCTCAGAGGGAGAGGATGGTTCATTGACCACTTTGAAGAGATTCTTTAGCAACTGTTCATTCCAGTACAGGTCACAGAACTTCTCAGATATGGCACCACAGAAAGTGGCGAAGGTGAGGTCTTTCAAGGCGTAAATATATTCCCCTGGTTTTGTAAAGTGATAGGGCAAGTTAGGATGTGGTACCTTTACTTCTGGTCATATGGAAGAGATGGTCTCAGGGAGAGCTGGGCTTGGGCAGATTCCCAGACACTTCCTGATTGAGGCTCCCTGGCACCAGCATTTTGAGCTGCCCTCACTGTCCTGGTGGCCCCCAGCCCCTGTGCTACCCTTTATCCAGAGTCCCCTCTGATGTCCCGTGGTCTGTGTCTATACCCTTGGCCTCTCCCTCGTCCTCCCGGGGCTTGTCTTGGTCCCTGTGGCCCCCATACCCATAATTAGAGCCTCCAGCCCGTTGTCTAGGTAGCCATCGAAGGCAAACTCCTCCTGGATGAGGCGCATGGCCTCCTGCAGGGAGGGGCAGGCTGTCTTCTTTGGGGGGGATGAAGTGTCCACACTGGGTGGACACAGTTTGCGGTCTGTTGGCCAAGGCCTCTCGGGGTGATTGCCTGGGCTCCTGGGACTGTCTGGACTCATGGCAGCCAGTGTGGGGTCCCGTGCCACTGGCCGGGGGCCTTCACTCTCAGCAGCCTTGTTCCTTGGTGGCTTGCATGGGTGACGTGAGCCTTGGCTGGCTGAGGTGGGCCCTGGGGGCAGACTGGCTCCAGGTAGAACCTGCCCATCTGGCCCTTGATCGGGAGGCACTGTTGGTGCCTTTTGGGGTGGGGTGGGGGCAGGAGAGCTGGGCATCACTGGTGTGGCCCCTTCTTGCTGGTTGGCTGGTTCAGGGCCTGGCTGGCAGGAGCATTCCCGGGCCAAGCTGTGTGGCACTGACTCCCTGAGAGGTTCTGGGGCTGCTTGCTGCAGCTTTGGGCTGGGTGCCAACTGGTCAGGTGTCTTCAGGCTTGTGGTTCCAGAGAGGTCCTGGACTGCCTGCTCCACTTCATCGTTCCCACCCAACTGGCCACTCTTCTCCCTGAGTTTCTCAGCTGACTCTGAGGACAAAGGAAGCTGGTCCCTGTGGACAGAGAGGAAGAGAGAGCTCAGGAGGGGCCACCTGTGGGGATGCTGCTAACTGGGGTGGGGGTATGGGCACTCACCTGGCCACATCTGCGTCATGAGCAAGGATGATGGGCTTAAAGTGAGTGGTTTCAGAGGTAAAGGCTGCAGGCAGCTCTCTGGCTTCTTCATAGCAGGAGGGTGGACTGGGCACAGGCCCTGACATGGCCATGAATCTGGTGTCACTGCTGACTGGCAGGAAGCCTGGAGACAGCAGGTGGTTGGGAGGGCACGAGGGGGAAGGGGCAGATGGGGGGCCTGCAGATGCCCTACAGTGATCCCATACTTAAGGCTCTGCTGGCTTGTCAGGCCCAAGGCTGGGCATTTCATCCTTTCCTACATATCCCAGAGGAATTCCTCTGCTGGACTGGCCCAGGGGCTAGAAGGTGGGGAGTTCCTGGGGAGGGCTGGAGTGCAAGGACAGGCTGGAGTCTTGGCCACAGCCAGGAGGCTGGGGATGCAGGGAGGGATCTTGTCTCTGGCCCCAGGGATGGATCCCTGAGGAGGCAGCCAGGTAGGATGAGAGCTGGGGTGTGTGTGTGTGTGTGAGAATGTGGATGGGAAGGGGTTGGGGGTAGACAGAATCTGGAGCTGAGTCCTGAGTGGGGAGGAGGTAAGGCCAAGGATGGCCTGGGCGGGCCCATGGCTGAGCTCTGGGACTATCGTTCTGGGCTTCTGGTGACATAGGTTGGAAATGCCCTCAGGGCTGGACTTAGGGGTGGGCAGTATGGGTGTAGGGTGCAGAGACTGGCAGATAGAAGGGGCTGGAGGAGTTGTGCCCACCTGGGCTGGGCTTGGGAGCAGGTGCTGTGCGGGGTTTCAGTTCAACCATTGAGAAGGCATTTTGGAGACCGATGGTCTCTTCCTCCTGGTGAACCTGGGTGGGAAGTCACAAATGGCTGGTCAGATGACAATGGGGCCCATAAATAGTGGGGAGGCTCGCCTTGCAATGCCCAGCAACGCAACAGGCCAGTCCAAGGGGCTTTCTGTGGCTCAAGGGAGTCTGGCCCTGAGGGGCTATGCCCCAAGATTTGGAGCTCTTCCATTTAAGTAAAGCGGTGGCAGGTTTCTAGAGAATGAGAAGATGGTGGCAGAAAGGAACCCCCAAGCCTGCTGTGGGGAGTTCAGCCCCCTGGGGTTGGGGGTGCCTGCCTTTCGATGGCACCTGCTCTAGATCCATCCTGACCAGAGTACCCAGAAAGTGGATAGGCGCCTTTGCAAATGCTGATGGCTACCTGAAAGTCACTCTGCAGGATCATCAGGAGATGGGACCTCCCACCAGGTATACAGCACCAACACTTGGTGGGGTAGTCAGCAGCACCCTGAGGTCCTCCGCAAGCTCATTCCCATAAGCAAAGAAAGCTGAGAAAACAGTTGTCAGGAGGATGGCTATTCACTCCCTCTTCCTACATTCTCTCTTAGTCTATAATACACCGGGAGACAAGCAAGTTCCTCATCTGAGTATTGGCAACGTGAAGGAGCCCTCCACGAGCTTTGAGGTGCACCGTCTTACCTTGCAGGTGGACACTCGCAGGTGGGCTAGGATCTTTCTGCTATCCATGCCCCGCTGGAGGAGGTAGCTCCCACAGACCTGAAAGTAGGGAGAGCATCTGGGCAGGCTAGGATGGGCAGCTCAGGCATCAGCTCCTGCCTCGCCAGCCCCATTTCCCCTGATGCTTCCAGGAACATAAGTGGGTGGGTCATAGGGAGGCCCTGGGGTCTTCTCTGCAGGGTCCCTAGCTTGGGTAACCTTGATGAGAGTTTACTTCTAGGTGTCTGGCCTTGCATCCACCTGCAGCTGTGAATAAAAACAACAGAAGAGCCACAGCTGCTCCCTAGCTTTTGCTTTGCTGAAAAGTTCTGCCATATATGCTGGAGACAAGAGAGAGATCCGGGAGAGGGTGACATCAGAGAACCATGGAAGAGGGGGTCAGAATCAGTCTGTTCATGCATCAAAGACCTTATGCTTGCAACCTACCAAAGGCAAGAGATGAATTTTTGTAGATGATCATACTTAGCAGCGATTTTTTAACAGTTGACCCCATGCTATCTGCCCACATGGCCAAGAAATGAAAGGCATTCCCTTCTCTGCCTAATGGTCAGAAGCCCTGGGACCGTGAGTAGGTCTCCAGTCATAATGCAGTTACCTTAATGGCCTCAGCTGCAGATGGCCGCTCCAGGGCACAGCGCCTGGCCATGTCCAGGAGGAGAGTCTTGAGCCTGCGTGGTAGAGCCAGCTTTTGGTCGCGAGGGACGCTGAACTTGGCTGCTGTCCATAGGACAGCGGCCACACAGTACACTGAGGCCTGAGTGGGGGCAGAAAGAGGAGGGAAAGGTGGCAAAAGGGCCGTGGGGGCCAGGGAGGCCTAGCAAACCTGTCTCCAACTTGGCCCTCAAGAGGACAGCAAAACGCAACCCCACTGACTGGTAACCTGCCCAGACCCAGGGCCCACCCCAGTTAGATGCACCATGGAACTCAGGGATATAGCCAGCAGATCTGCGTATTTAACAAGCTCCCTCCCCACTTTTTTTTTTTTTTTTTTTTTAAGCTGAGGATTGAACCCAGCCTATCCTGATGGAGCTACATCGCCAGCCCTTTTTATTTTGAGACAGGGTCTCACTAAATTGCCCAAGCTAGACTAGAATTTGCAGTCCCCCTGCCTCAGCCTCAAAGAGTGCTGGGATTACAACCCTGCACCACCACACCGGCGATATGACAGTTCCCCAGCCCAAATCCACCAACCTAGTCACTTAGGGATTCAGCTAGATCACTCAGAGCCGCTCAGGAGACCTGCACTGCCTTCTTCACTGGAATAAGGTCAGCACTCTGGGCAAAAGGCTCTGCCTTCAGTCAGAGTGGTCAGGGCGCTGTGACCCCGCTGGCCGGGACCAGGCCTGCCAAGGCTGGCCCACGGCACCCACGCTCCTACCTGGTAGGCATGGTCGGCCTGAATGTGCAGCAGCACCACTGAGCTAAATCCCCGGCCCATCCCCACATCTTCTTCCTCGCAGGAACTGGCTGGGATTCCCTCCTGGCCAGTGTATGCTGCCCAGCAGGTAATAACTGGTCCTTAGGACAGATGTGTGCCCCCATATTCACATGTCTGGCAGTTGCTCCAAGGCCCACTGATGAAAGCTCTTTCCTGTAAGTTCTCCCTGAAGGCTCTCCTAGTTTAACCAACTACTGCATGCACAGCAACCTATGATGAATGGGTGCGCCTAACAGGAGTACACGATGGTATTTGCATTGACCTTGGGAAGATCAAAGCAAGATGCACAGGAGAGTATCCCTGGTTCTGAGCAAGGTCTTCACTGAATCAGAAAAGCACTGTTGAATGGATAAAGACTATTTCCTCAACTTTGGGCCATTTACAGTGTAGCAGCTCCAGACATGACTTGCTTTTAAGTTTAGTTGATTTATGAACATTTTCTCTCTCATCTTGTTAAGTCTGGATCATCATCAAAGAGTAGTTGAGCCCCGATGCATAGTATTTCCCAATTTCCACGGTACAAATGTTCCCACATGGCCAGCTTTCAGCCACAAGGAGGCAGCAAACTGCAATTGGTAAATCCAGACCCAGCGGACCTGAAGAGCCTGAGAGCACAGACACAGTCAACTGTGGAAACTATTAGTTTTCTGAGTCCTTATTAAACTTCAAAACTTTGAGGTACTGGGCCAGAGATTTAGCTCAGTGGTTCCATCACCTGCCTCGTAAGTACAAGGTCCCGAGTTCAAGCCCCCATACCAAAACAAACAAACAAACAAAAAAAACTTTTGAGGTAACTATAGATTGATACACAGTTACTAGAAATAGAGATCCCAGGTACAGTTCATACAATTTCCTAGAGCAGAGGCTTTTTGCAGCTCTGTCACAGCCGGTGTCATGACACAGATGGTCACAACTCAAGACATCTATCTCCCCAAGGGTCCCCCCTGCACCCTTTAACAGCCCGCCTCCAACCCTTCCGGATTCCTGGTAACCACTATTCTGTTCACCATGACTATAACTGAATCATTTCAGGAATGTTGTAGAAGTGTGCTGCAAAAAACAGTGTATAACCTTTTGGGATGGGCTTTTTTCTTTAGGTGTAATTTTCTGGAGAGTCATCCAAGTTGCTGCATTGTGAGTATATCATTCTTTTTATTACTGAGTAGGATGCTATGGTTGCTGGTTTGCTTAATCATTCATTCATTGAAGGACATCTGAGTTGTTTATAGTTTAGGCACAATGGTGATGACCCTAAGGTACACATGCTACAGTGGACAGTTTGCTATTGAAAGCTTGGAAAAAGTTTGCCATCACTGGTTTAGGGTGATTACGAATAAAGCTGCTATACTCATACACAGGATTTTGTGCAAACAGAAGTTTCATTACTTTGCCTGGAAGTGCAAATTTTTGGCTTGCATAGTTGTTGCATGTTCAGCTTTCTGAGAAACTGCCAAAGTGTTTTTGTAGCGTAGCTACACTATTTCACATTCCCTCCACTGATTACTCACATCTGTGCAACAGTCAGTGTCATCAGTGTTTTGGATTTTAGTCATTCAAATAAGCGAGTAGTGGTATTGCACTGTTTTATTTTGCAAAATGCCAATGCCATATGATAGAGGGCATCTTTTTCTTTGCTTACTTGCCACCTCTGCTCCTTTCTGGGGAAGTCATGCCCAGGTTTCAATCAGGTTGGCTGTCTTATTGTTTTTTTTTCTTCTTTTTTTAACCGGGGATTGAACTCGGTTCTTTGCACTTGCAAGGCAGGCCACCGAACCACTGAGCTAAATCCCCGGCCCTTGGCTGTCTTATTATTGACTTCTAAGTCTTTTATCAGACACGTGTTAATACAAACATTTTTTTTCTCCCAGTCTGTGGCATGTCTTTTCAGTCTTTGTGGTTGTGTTTTCATTCTCTTAACAGTGTCCACTGTTCTTTTCCTGTATTCTCTTGCCAATGCCATACCACCTTGGTTCCTGCACTTTTACAGTAAATGATAACATTGGGTATTGTCCTTCAATATTGTGCTGGCTGTTCTGGCCTTTTTTGTAACTTTAGAATTATCTCTGTCAATATCCTTAATTTGCCAGAACTTCGACTGGGATTGTACTCAAACTATAGATTGGACTGGAAGAGTTGGTAATTTAACACAGTCTTCCTATAAAAGAGCAAGGAGTGGCTCTAAATTTATTTGAGTCTGTGATTTCTCATACTGATGGAGAGATAAGCTTTATATGAACATCTGCATGAAATATGACTTAATGTCAAACATGAAGTTTAATGTCAAAATCTCCTACTGTAAGTAAGTATTTGGATTTATTGTTTAAATCTATGGGAAAGTTGTACTTCCTGGGAGGATTTAGAGATGGGAAGAGTAGATAGGCATTTTAAGTTATTGACATATGTTGTTCTAAATAGTAACAAAAATTATTTGAGGTAATTCACGTGGTTTGATTATTTAGCCCAGATCTGAACTGTGGAGTGTGTTGTTGTACACTGTTTCTTTTTTTATGGTTTAAAATTCTGCCTTTTAAGAAATTAAAAAAATTCAGCTGACGTATATTTTGACCTAAGAAATTTATATTTGTATTAGTATTGAATTTTGGCTAGTGTTTCAATATAAAGAAATAACTATTTTAAAATAAAGAAAACTGTTTTATTCTCCATGGACAAAAATCAAAAACAAGGAGGACGGGGATTTATTTAGCTCAGTGGCACCTCACCTGCCTCACAAGCGCAAGGTCCTGAGTTCAATCCCCGATACCAATAAAAATTAAAAAAATCAAACATTGAGATAAAATGAAAAACAAAACGAGGAAGTTTTTCAAAAGGATTAAACTTTATTAATAAAACTTGTTGCTTCCCTTTGGTCTGTCTCTGAATTTAGTTGACTAACACATCATTATTAGTATTCTGAACTCACTGTTCATTTTCACCACACACATCTCTCAAGTTTTTGGGGTGGCACTCCCCATTTCTCTGGTAATCTCTTAAATTGTTTTTTGTGTCAATGGAAGGCCAAGGTTTTTATCTCTACTCCATCAAAAGCAAAGCCACATCCTTTAATTCTACTCTTTAAAATGTGTGACTGTATGTAAACTGTACAAAAGAGGAACTTAATGTTCAACCTTTTAAAAGAATTTTTTGGCAGTGCTGAAGACAGAACTCAAAAGACTTAATGTTAACATACAAAAATACGGTAAAATGCTACAATAGTAATTTCATTCTAATTTTTTTTCATTAAAGAATTGTCATCTCTCTAAAAAGAAGCTATAAAAATATCGGTATAAACACTAAAAAAAAAAACACTTTACAATCCTGGGCTATTAGGCTAATATATATCTAATGTGATTTACTACTAAACATAAAATGTTAAATTCTATGAGTCAGAATTTCTGAATAATTTTGATATTTTGGTAAGAACTTACTATGAGGAACCAGAAAGATTTAAAGGTTTTTCTATTTCAGGCAGGTGTGTAGCTCATGTATTTAGCACCTAGGCCTTGAGTTTGACCCTTGGCACATGCAAAAAAAGTATTTTCTATTTTAACCTCAATTATGAAAAAATACACATTTGTTGACAGGCACTAATGATGAAATTGATCTGGAAGGAAGAGACTTGCATGTTAGGAGTGCCCACCTAGGCATTAACTGGTTAAAATGCTTTTCCCCCCTTATATTTTAAATAAAAGTACAAGTTTATATATGATTAAAAGTGCATAAGTACAGAAAGATCTAAAATAAGAAGTAAATATCCTTCCACAACAGATAACAGATCTGATGCCTTCAAAATCCTTCAACAGCCACATGAGTAATTCACAAACTGAAGATGACCGAGAATCTTTCATCTGCAAATACTTTTCAGGCTTTTGGAACTATGTTGGTTGTCTCGTGTCATACATCTGTTACACAGCAAAGCCATGCACTCTTCTCCTTCATAAAGAAAATTTCAAAGGGAAGCTACACACATTGCTCAGAGACAGCAGATGCTACTGGGTCTGGTGGTGGCTCTAGAGAGGCCCAGGTATTACCAGAAATGCTGCAGTGGGAGCTCAGCTCCTTCCTGGATGCCCCAGATCCTCTTGGTCAGCAGCAAGTACTTGGGGAAGAGAGTGCCTCCTCCAGTGGGAGGGGAGGGGAGGAAAGGAGAGGATAGAGGAGAGGACAGGAGACTGGAGCCCTCAAAGAGGTGAACTAAAAATGCTTCTGCTGCCTCTTGAAGCCTGGGTTTGCCACCATGAGTGAATTTAGCATATATTTCTCTCAACTGAAAGTGTCTTCTTTGGCAAGAGGTCTGTGCTTTCTCTCAGATTTTGGAT